AATGATTAGAATAGATACATAGTTGCATTCTCTTAATGAATAGAGGGATTTGTTCTAACAGTGTTTGTAAATAGGATATCATGTCCACATCTTGTACAGCAATTAACCATTAGGAAGAATGTATGCAATGTGTTAATTATTGAAACTGTCCTACCAATATGATTTGAAACTGTCTCATTGCTATTTGTTTCTCAATAAAATTATGGAAAAAAAATTGCATTCAGGCTACCTGTCTTAGGCTGGATGTAGTACTCACATGCATAATCCCAGCATTGGATCAGGAATTAATTGCAAACTCTAGAAGCTGCCCCATTGACTACACGAGGCTTTGCAGGGATACCTAGGTACAAACTATAACACACCTAGGCCGGCCAGTGGTACTGTTTGAAATGAAAGATTCAAATGGTAGGTGTAACTTGTACTGTGGCTCCACACTGGGACAGGCAGAGTTATAGATGGATCCCAGGGGCCAATTCAGATATTCCTGTGCTTTCCAGAGAAGACAAGAGAATATGTAAGCAGAAAGCTATGCAGGACCCCACATAAATAAGGCTACTGATGACTCAGTCCCGTGAGAATGGCTGTATGGATCAAACTAACTTTGTGATTAAATTAATAAAGAAAATGGCTGTAGGAGCATAAGAGAAATGTGGAAAAGGTGATGAGAAAACTATGATTCTTTTGGCTTAGAGTTTATGATCAGCGCTGTATGGAAAAATATCAACAGCATCAAGTTGTTAGAACTCATTTTTTCTACTTCACTCTGCACAACAGTGCCATCTTAGGGTTATAGTGGTAGCAACTAATATTTTGGGTACATTTAGAAGTGTGACTAAATTGGTATTAATGTATAATGATTGGGGAGTTTATAGGATTTTGTTTGGTTTTTATCTGAATAAATGAGAGTCAATGAAGAAGGTAAAAAAGATTAGGTCTTTTGGATATTGTTTGTTTTCTAGGCCTAATATCTATTCGTCTTCCATATATTTTTAGTTTTCTGTATTTTTCATTTACTTTATTTTTCTCATATAAATACATAAATTTTTATGTTGTTATGTACAGCAATCACACAGCTCTTCTTTGTTTTAAGCAGCTTCTGACTCTGGTGGCTCAAGGTGGCTTCCTACTCGTGACCTGACTCCCTCAATGTCCCTAGAGCTGGGCTTATGGGTGGGTGACACCATGCCTTACTGAAAAATGTATGCAGAAGGGAGAAAACATTAGCAACTGGTGATTCTTCTCTGGTGGGTAAAATAGAAAAGGTTGTGCTTTGGGGCTTTGTGAAAGACATAATGTAGTGGGTTGGTCTCTGTCACCACATGAGAAGGGACCTGGAGATGAATATCTTGACCAGGCATCAGATGGTAGACCTTCAGATAGAAAGGGAAGGAGAGTGACAAGGCACAAATGGCAGAGCCAGGCAGACTTGTTCTTGTTTTAGCAGCTGGAAAAGGGTAGTCTGGGGAAGTCCACCTTGTCCTTGGCTTAATGGTCCTTCAATAGAGCTGATGATTCTGACAAATTCACTCATCTCAAGCCTCTCCTCTCACCCTCTATAGTCAGCAATGAGTGAAGACATGAATGCATAGTGAAAGGAAAATGTCCTCTGTGGCTTCACCACACACGAAACACAGATCTTAGAGGTCCTGAGAAGACGATAATTAGGAGAGAATGGGTTGGAAGGAATGAGAGGCCTGTGGCATGGAGGTAGAGCTACTTGGGGTGAGAGGAACACTTCCAGCCATACATTTCTCTACCGGTATCTATTTTAAAGTTAACATGCATGCCTCAAAATGATCTTTTAATTTCCACATCATCAACATTACTAGCTCCATATTAGTTTCCAGTGGCTGCCAAAATAGGAAGAAACAAGAAGGAAGAGGAACAGATTCACACATTCTGTAGCATAAAAAAAAAGAAAATTATTTTAACACATGTTCAGAATGTAGAAGTCCAACATTAAGTTGGCAGCGGGCTTATAGTCTTCAAAAGCTTTATGGATGGCTTCCAAATGTCACCTCCTTCCTACACCCACAATGGAGTCTTCTCTGTACATATGAATCATTCCTGGCTGTCAGTGTTCCAAATGTACTCTTCTTGTGAGAACACTGGCCTCACTAGATTCTGGCTACCCTAGAAGCCATGGTTGGACTAAATCATATGTTGAAGTTCATGTTTCTGTATGTAGTCAAGTGTTGGACACAAATTAGCCCATAATTCTTCTTAATGTTCTCTCACTTGCCAGTCCTCTCACCCAATTCCTAAGAAAAAGTCCAAGCACCACTTTAGACTTCCTACTCACTCAGGCACTGTTCATTAGCAGATCCAATGGACTTTACTTTCAGGATACATGAAAAAAGATCCCACTTGTCTGATGTCTACTCCAAGGCTCTGGTTCAGCAAGCATTTTTAATCTCTGAGGGTCTTAACAAAGCCCAATAATCCTGATGAGATTGTTCCCCTCTCCCCAGGATCTAATGACTCCCTCACCATACCTGCCAGAGTCATTTCAAACTGAAGATTATGCTACTTTTCTTTGCTTAAAATTCTTCATTGGATTGTCTTGTATTGATAGTAAGATGTAAATTTCATACCTCACATCTTCCACCAATCACCTCTTTTTTTCTTGAAGAGTGGTGAGCAATCTGAATGTGAGAAAATGCAGAATCTTCTCAGCTTTTTCTGCTTTGGTCTGTGTGAAATGCTACAGCAAGATTTTCTGGGAAGGATGAAATTTTTTTAAACATATTTGATTATTACAGGGTCTTAATACACAGCTTGGACTTGGTGCTCTTCCTGTTTTTCAGCCTCCCCGGCTCTGGGATTACAGGCATACACCACTATACCCAGACTCAATGGCCTGCTTAGCTCACTTTTGGAGTGGGGCTGGTGGGGCATATGGGGTCAGGGATTGAAATACAGTCCCTGTGCTTGCCTAAGCTTGCCTAAGCAGGAGCTTTAGTCTGTTGAGCTATCTCACTGGCCTCCTAGGGAAGATGAATATTGATGGGGTGGCTAAACTTGTGCTGCAGTGAGTGAATTGCTGAGTCCCTCTTGTCTAAGGTGGAGATCATGTAAATTGGAAGAGTCATTCTCTACTGAAATGACTAAGCAATTTTGTGATATAATTATCAAGTAAATGCATTTATCTCTGATACTTAATCTAAGCCTGTATTTTCCTAAAAATTCTGGCTATATGATTTTTGTGCTGCTCTGCATAATCACTTTTTCATTGACTCTCTACGAAGGTAGAGTCCTCTCACATCCTCTAACATCCACCATAGCCCAGAGTTGTGAATGCAGGAAACAGTTATTAAACTTTCATTAAATACATCTCATTAAACATGAGAGCACTGTATTAGACTATATGCTATGTTAAATAACTTAACATCATTAAGCTATGTTATATCAAACACAGTATATAAATGATAGTTTATATGTCTGTTATAAAATGTATGACATTCAGCTAAAAATCAGTACAATGAAATACACTAAAATATACTATAGATAAGGAAATAACATAAGGCAAATTTTATTAGCAAATCTGTTTATTAGCAAATCCAATAGACTTTACTTTCAGAATATATCAAAAAGTTCCCATTTGCTGGGGGTTTGATCCCCGGAGTGTTGTGCTGGGCCAGCTCTTGGGGTGTGCTGAGATGGTGACTGAGACTAGGTGTGGTGGCACGTGCCTGTAATCTCAGTGCTTGGGAGGCTGAAAATAGAAGGCTTACTACAAGTCCAATCTGTGTAGTGAGACCCTGTAGACCTTGTCCTAAATACATTTAAAAAAAGGTCCCACTTGCCTGATAAATGTCTATGTATGTTTTTGAAAAAAATTCGATGTTATCATAAAAGAAGCCTGTTGACTCTCTTTGCCTCTCACTGAGCCAAATCCAGTGAACATTAATAAGAGCTCAGTCCTGTCAGCAACCTGACAACAGCAGCTTCACAAACATGTGCACTCTTTACTTTCAGAACCAGACGCTATGATTTACTACATGGCAAAGGGAAGTTAAGTTTCTTAATCAAGTACCATTAAAATAAGAGAGATCATCCTGGATTACGCAGGTTGTCTGTTCCCTTCAGTGTGCAAAGAGAAGGCAGAAGAGTGGGTGACAGGGTAGTGGGCTGATGAGAGAATGAACTGGCCATCACCGGCTCTGGAGAGTGAAAGGACCAAGGAATGTGAGGAAGAAAGTGGGATTCTTTCTGGAGCCTGTGGAAGGGAACTCAGCCCTGGCTCATGGATTCAACCCCATGAGAACCATTTCAGACTTCTGAGATGCAATGCTGTATGAAGAGAAATCATGTTGCTTTAAATTACAAGTGATGATAACATACCACAGTAGCAATAGGAAAACTAATACACTTCCCACGGATTTATTTCCTGTTCTGCTCCAGACCCTCACAGGCTAGTTCCTGTTTGTAAAGTGTCACAGGTAAATAATATTATTATGGATATCAACACAAAGCAACTAATCAACCTCTTCCCTTCTAAAATGAAAACTCTCAAGATGCATTTCGGTGAAAGTTTATTCAGCCCATATGAAATGGGATGGAGCTAAGAAATGCCCCTCTCTCTGCAAGTACAATACACAGCCCTCATCCAAGATCAGAGTCTTGATGTTTCTCTCAGCTGTGTACATCTAATTTTCACTACTTCTCTACAATTGTGAATTCTCTTGTAGCATGTGGTAGTGTCTTCAAACATTTGTTTCTTCTCAGTAACTGGAGGATAACAGATAAGTAGCCCCGTTTGCTGTAGATGTTGTTTCTTTTTCTAAATTAAAAACAAAGCAAAAGTTACCAAGAGAACCCAGTACTCAAAAGACCAGGCTCATCTTTTGTTTTTTCCCACTGTGACCTTGCACGTGGCATTTCATTTCTCTTGTGTTTTAAATGCCTTGAGTGGAACCTTCCTGCTCCTAGCCTCTGAGGTACTGTGGCAGGGCTAATCTCTTATCAGAGGCTATAACACAAATGCATGCCTGGGTGACTTGGTGAAAGCTTTGGTCTCCCTCACGCATAGAAGTCACTGATAGAAGCGCTTGAACTTGACAGTTGTTCTTGAATCCCTGCTATATCTCTTTGCTCCGAGAGTGGTCACTGTGAACATTGTGCCCGAGTGAGAAGGATGTGAAATGGGCAGGGTACCAAGTGCCACTTCTCCTAGTACCCCTAAGATCCTTCCACAGAAAACCTCTCAAAGTCCAAGAACAGAAGGAAAAGCAAAGATCTTTAGCTTTATCCACTACTCGTCAGCTCCTCAAAGGGAATAACATGTGCCAGAAGTAATGACATAAATTCATTGATTTAAAATATTAAAAGCTCCTGGATTTCTCCTCCTACTAAAAGCAGCAGCATCTGGGTTTGCTGTCACTGTCACAGTCAGAAGTGAATTCTCGAAAGGCAGAGGTGGAAACAGGTGATTCCCGTTTCCAGAAATGGCCATCTCGGTCTGGGCTGTGAGGCTGCTTCTTGGTTTTATAGTCAAGGAGGACAAATTCCTGATTTGCAAAGATCCTGGGCAGAATATATATGACATCAGTGGTCCATTCACAGCCACTATAGGGCATAATACTATGGTAGGACTGTGTTACTCAGATGTATTTTCTGTGAAGAAGACTTTTACCACCAAAATTTAAATCCACACAAACAAACTCATTTAAGCAAGTCTTTCAGCCTGCACTAAAGTGCTACTCTTAGATTTCTCCAACGAGTGCATGCAGTGTTCTAATGCACTTACAGCAGTGCTGGAATACAGCTTAGCTATCATTTGTAGATACAATCAGATTGTTCAGAAACCTAGGTGTGGCCCAAGGGTGCTAACATAGGAAAAACCTCAATCATCTCTCAAATTATATGACTTTTTTGTGAAGGAGGAAGACATTGCAGTCTTATGACCATGTCACTAAGGGTCAGAGAAAAAAATGTATATAAATATATGGAGGGTTGGAGCAGCATGACCAGAAGGGTTTTAAATCTCTTTGTCTTCTGTTCAGTCTCAGTACAAATGACTTTTACAGTTACCAAAAGCTTCCCATAGAAAGCTTACACACAAATCATGAAAGGAAAATGGGGTGATTAATCCTGTGGTCTTCAACACACCCACCAACCCTATGAAGGCCCCAAAGAGCTACTGTCCATACAGTAGCCCAGAGAATGGTTCCAAGAAGACTGCACAGATGTCATGGATCAGCAATGTAGGAAGTCAGTGAATTCCAACTGTCAGTGATTACTTTGGGAAATGCTTATGTCTCCTTCATTTTTTCAAACTTCTTTGGCCAAAATTTTGCCCTACCCCAAAGAACGGATCAGCAACATTATTCCCAAATAATAGTTACCACAACAGGACTTTCCTATGCAATGATATACCATCAAGGAAACAAAAAAGAAAAGAAAAAGGTGCTGCATATTAGAAGGAAGGATCTGACCTGCAGCCTCATTGGTTTCTTCCACTGAGTCAAAGGGAGACACGTCCAACACCAAGGCAGTAGGGAACTCTGGGGGGAAAAGGAAAAACAGTTGTGGCCATTTTCTGTGGACATCCAGCACACTGGAGGAAAGCAGGATTTCATTGAATCATGCAGGAGATAGGACACAGCAATGCCTGCCTGCACCTCCTGGAAGCAAGGTCCCCACTTACTGGCAGTCTGTGTGTCCTCCTGGAGTATACTTCCGGTGGACTCTAATCCAGAGGTCTGGACATCACCAACAGTTGGATCTTGGTTCACGAGTGGGTCTGCATCAACAGCGAGCTCATTTGTTATTATGGACTATATCTAGACATCCGAATCAGGCCCCAGGCAGTCTTAGGTGGGACTTTGGAGAGTGACTATGTTAGGATGTGTAGCTCTGCATTAAGATGTGATACTGGTTTTAAGGTTGTGGATGGGAGTCACGCCACCCTCAGGTGAGTGTCATCAACCAATAGTTATAGCTCAGGTGTGACACAAAAGAAGAGGGCAAGGCAGGCTTTCTATTTCCTGTAGCTGCCTTCTGCGCCCTCTGCCCTGAGCCCTGAGCTGTTTCTCCTCTGTGAGGCCTCTCTGCCATGCTGCCCTGCTTTGGAACCAGCTGGATTAAAGCTCTTCAGACTGGGATGAAATAAACATGTCCTTCTTTAACTTTGGGTGTTGGGTATTTTATCTCAGATGTAAGAGGAAAACAAGAGAAAAACAAGGAAGACACAGGAGGATATGCTCAACTCCAAGGAACCTGAGAATTCCAGGGGAAAGGTCTGAGCTATAAGTGTGGCTACCACTATATTTCAGAAATCTAACACACTGGAGGAAAGCAGGGTTTCACCGAGGCATGGAGTAGATAGGAGACAGTGATGCTTGCCCGCACCTCCCTGAAGCAAGGTCCCCACTTACTGGCAGTCTGTGTGTCCTCCTGGAATATGTTTCTGGTAGACTCTAATCCAGAGGTCAGGACATCACCAACAGTTGGATCTTGGTTCACGAGTGGGTCTGCATCAACAGTGAACTCATTTGTTATTATGAAC